TACTTTTTTAATAAAGAACTTAAGATGGTAGTATATGATATCGTTAATTGGATTTACGTCCGATTTTTACCTAAAACTTTTTTTTGTCACATTTTTTGTACAAAAGTAATAATTAAAAACATAATCGAAACCTGTTTTGTTGTTGCTATTTTTTTTAATTGTTTTGACGTTTTGTTGCTAATTTAATTAGAAAAGAAAATAGTTCCAAGTTAAAGAAACATTGAAAATAAGAGAAAATGAGCCCATAATACGTAACAAGAGACTTAAGGCCCAATACGCAGACACATAAACAGGGGTAATATAGTAAATCCGTAGACATTATCACATCTAATTAGACTTATTGGCAACTAAAATGTTTTTATTTAATATCAAAACTAGTGATTGGCGTCACGATTAATAACAACAGATAAGCGCGTTGCGTAAACCATAATTAAAACACGGTCAACGTCTTAATTACACCCGAAAAAACATTCCCCTAGTTGCCTTCTAAGACAAGTCTCCACGATCTCACAAAAAGTGTAGAAGAAACTTTCAAAAACTTTGCTTTGTCTTTTTTGAGAAAAACTAAATCGATTTTCTCTAAAAGTAAAATTAAATGAATAATCTGAAACTTGGCGTCGAAGTAATAAGCGCAAGGCTCAAACCTAGAGAGGATACTAATGGCTATGGTGGTATTAACGCTTTCGTCGAGCTGCGATTCGATGATCAGAAAGTCAAAACCTCGACTAAAATCGACGATTCGAGTCCGGTTTGGAACGAGAAGTTTTTCTTTAACATCTCTCATACAGAGGATTTATCGAATCTTGTTCTTGAGGCTTACGTTTACAACAAAACAAGCAACATAACCAAATCTTGTCTTGGTAAGATTCGGATCTTGGGAACTGCGTTTGTGCCGTATTCCGAAGCTGTCGGATTGCATTATCCTCTTGAGAAAGAGAAATGGAGTGTCTTTTCTGCCATTAGAGGTGAGGTTGCTCTGAAAGTGTTTGTAACTGATAACCCCTCTCTCAAGGCACCTAATCTTAGCCCTATAAAGAAGGTTACTTCTAACACAAGGCACAAACTCCACAACATCGCCACGGCGGAGAAGAGTAAACCTAGCTTACGAAGAAATCAGCAATCGCCTCAACCCCAACCGCTTCAACTGCCACCGGTTATGGAACCTCCTCGGTTTCAACCGGCGGTAGGCGCAACAATGGGATTTAATCCGAATCCACCGGATTATTCGATCAAAGAGACGAATCCGGTTCTTGGAGGAGGCAAAGGAGCAAGAAGAACGGGCGCTAATGATCTTGTAGAGCCAATGGAGTTTCTCTTTGTCAAAGTCGTGAAAGCTCGAAATCTTCCGACAATGGACTTAACCGGAGGTCTAGATCCGTACATCCAAGTCAAACTCGGAAACTTTACCGCGAAAACGAAACATTTCGAGAAGAATCAAAACCCGATTTGGAACGAAGTTTTCGCTTTCTCCAAATCCAATCAACAATCAAACGTTCTTGAAGTCGTTCTCATGGACAAAGACGTGATCAAAGACGATTTCGTCGGTTTAATCCGGTTCGATCTCAACGAGATTCCGACACGTGTTGCACCAGACAGTCCTTTAGCTCCAGAATGGTACAGAGTCAACCACGAGAAAGGAGGCGAGGTTATGTTAGCTGTTTGGTTCGGTACTCAAGCCGACGAAGCGTTCTCAGACGCAACATACTCAGACGCTTTAAACGCTATTAACAAATCGAGTGTGCGTTCTAAAATCTATCATTCTCCGAGGCTATGGTACCTTCGCGTTAACGTCATCGAGGCGCAAGACTTGGTTATCGTACCAGACCGGACTCGGTTTCCAAATCCATATGTCAAAATCCAGTTAAGTAACCAAATGGTTCGAACAAAACCGAGTCAATCGCTTAATCCGAGATGGAACGAAGAGTTTACGCTTGTCGCGGCTGAACCATTTGAAGATCTAATCGTCTCGATCGAAGACCGAATCGCGGTTAACCGAGAGGAAACGATTGGAACGGTAAGGATACCGATCGGTACAATCGATAAACGGATTGATGATAACCGGACTGTGCCTAACCGTTGGTTTAGTCTTGAATTTGAAAACCAGAGGAGAGTAAGATTTGCTACTACAAAGCTTCAACTGAATGTTTGTCTAGAAGGAGGTTATCATGTTCTTGATGAGTCTACTTATTACAGCAGCGATTTCAGACCGTCGATGAAAGAACTGTGGAATCGACAACAACCATCGATTGGTGTTCTTGAATTAGGAATTTTAGGAGTTGAAGGCTTGAATCTAAGCCAAGAAGGGAAGAAAGAGACCGTTGATGCTTACTGTGTGGCTAAATATGGAACCAAATGGGTCAGGACTCGGACCGTTACGGATAGTTTAAACCCGCGGTACAACGAGCAGTATACGTGGGAGGTTTACGAGCCAGCGACTGTGATTACGATTGGCGTTTTCGATAACAATCAGATCAATGGCGGTATTGGTAACGGTAACGGTAACAAGAGAGATGGGAAGATTGGGAAAGTCAGAGTTCGAATCTCGACGCTCGAATCAGGAAGAATCTACACGAATTCGTATCCGCTTCTTGTTCTTCGACCTTCAGGTGTGAAGAAAATGGGGGAATTGCATTTGGCGATTCGGTTTTCTTGCACATCGATGTTTCAGATGCTTCTTCAGTATTGGAAACCGCTTCTTCCGAAAATGCATTACGCGAGACCGTTGAAAGTCGTCCAGCAGGAGATTCTCAGGCAGCACGCCGTCAACTTAGTGGCGGCTCGGTTAAGCAGAGCTGAGCCGCCGCTAAAGAAAGAAGTGATCGAATACATTTCGGATTCAAATTCGCATTTTTGGAGCATGAGGAAAAGCAGAGCGAATCTCTCTAGGCTGAGATCGGTTTTCTCTTGTTTACTAGGTACCGGAGAATGGTTTCAAGATATCTGCAGGTGGAAGAAACCGGTAGCCTCTACAGCGGTMCATGTACTCTATTTTGCGTTTGTGTGTTTACCGGAGATGATTCTTCCGGTAATGTCTCTTTGCTTGTTCATGTTTGGAGTATGGAACTACAGATTGCGCCCGCGACAACCTCCACACATGGATACAAGACTCTCATTTGCAGACAATATTCATCCTGAAGAGCTTAGCGAAGAGTTCGATACATTTCCTTTTTCTTCTCAAGACCCGGGGATTGTAAAAATGCGGTATGAGAGGTTGAGAAGTATAGCAAGTAGAGCTCAAACGGTTGTTGGAGATATCGCGGGTCAAGGAGAAAGAGTTCAAGCTCTGTTAAGCTGGAGAGATCCAAGAGCAACTTCGATTTTCATGGTGCTTTGTTTGGTTTCTTCTGTGGTTTTGTTTGTTGTACCGTTTAAGGTTTTTGTTCTTCTCGCCGGAATATACATCATGAGACATCCAAGATTCCGGCGAAAGACACCTCCTGGTCCGGTTAATTTCTTCCGACGACTTCCTGCAAAAACAGATTGTATGCTGTAGAATGCAAAAAGACATATATGAAACAAACGAAACATTTTTGCGATTTATCTGAAGTCAAGAAACCAAACTAGATTAATCGAAATCTCGAAAACATGCAGAAATTCTGAAAATCCACCTACTAGTCTTTTCTTTCCTAAACATTACACCAAAAGACTTTTTTTTTCAGAGAGGTTAGCTTAAAGTCTTTTTCTTCTTCTCCTAGATTCAATGCTTATATACACATGAATCATCCACGCATTAGATCAATGTCGATATGGGCGTGATGCATATCCATTGATCTTGAACCGGTTGTCCAAATGCCTACAGGAGGCTGAACAAGATTCTGGCTTTGCTGAGGAACAGGAGGCGACGTCGCTGCTGCTGTGTTATTGTTGTTGTCTTCCAAAGCATCAGTGTCTTGAACATCTTCAGAAGTTTCTTGTTTCTTTATCTTTACTTTCGGAATCGCCCAAATGAAACTCCCAACGATAACCTTTTAACACGGCAAACCACAAGTTTTTAGAAAATAATCTCTAAATTCATCTAAAGAATTCAACTTCTACAATATCAGACTCACCTGTACCGGACTTGCTGCTATTAGAGGCCCTCCAATTCCACCACCAATGACACGACCATCAGGGCTAGCAAGTGAGACCGCTAAATTTCCAGTGCGGTTTCGGTATTCAGTGTCAGTTGTGTTCAGATAAGAAGTAGTGAGAGATATGAGCTCGAATCGACCCTAGAGGTTATAAAGTATACACCAACATGAGTAATGTTATTATTGCCTTCTTAAAGGATAATAAACTGCGAGGATAATTATCAAACCTCGTATCTAATAGTTCCATGGGATGGTGATGGCTGAAGAAGAGTTGCAGTAGAGACTGCACCACTAGCGGATAAGACACAAATCGCTCTTGGACCTTGCTGAGAAAAAGATATAACCTTTGATGCAATGTCCTGAAAAAAACAACAAAACAAAGAGTACATGGCTTAAAGATTATTTCAAGAAGCTTAAAGGGTCGAAATGTAAAACTCAGATTTCGATCAGGAGAGGACATACTTCACCAATGGAAACTACGATTACGTGCGGCGTGAAGCTCATTCCAGACGATGAAGGCATCAATTCACCTTACAAGAAAAATCAAAACCCGAAATAAACCGGTTTCAGAAACAAGGTTCCAAGATAAAGGGCCAGTGGAATAAAAGATTATATTTTGAATTCAACATTTAGACATTAAAAAATTCCAAAGCTTTAATTAATCCTTAAATAGCCAATCATATTTGGATTAAGCACATAACTTCCCACCATTTTATGTCCTAATCTAAAACTATATATACTTATAATCCAATTAAGCACATAACTTTCCACCATTTTCAGAGACTTTTCAATGAGAGGAAGAAAGAGAAGATTTTTACCATTGGAAGCAAGTCTTTGCTTCTTGCCGGAACCAGGAGGTCTACCACGACCACGTTTGTTGTTAGAGTTTGGAGAAATGGTGGAGATCGAAGGAGACAATGCCAACGAAACAGGACCTTCTTGTCCGTATTTTCTAGGTCTTCCTCTCTTCCGCTTCACAGAAGTCTCACCAGAAGGAGGAGGAGCAACCACCGCTGAAGAATCAGCCGGAGAAGACTCAACGGGTAAAGGAGACACGAATCCGGTGGATCCACCACCTCCTCCCTGGTTCGGGTTTGACCCGAAAAGAGAGTTCGAATTAGAGAAATGGTGAAACCCTTGTGATCCATGAAACGCCGGTTGAGTTTGTT